CATCAGGCCAGTTCTAATTCCAATAACCCCCACGACCGTAATCGTTTTAGGACGTTTAGTGACGAACACGACGACGGACCCGACACGGGAACCGGTCGTCGCGAGGATTACGATATCGCGGCTAGTAGGAGCGCGGCTCGCGCGACCAACCACACGGTTTGTGCGGATCGGTCGATGGTTAAACCGCATACGTGCGAACGTGACAGCCACACGGACGATAGTACCAACACCGACGAAACGATCCACCATTCATCCTCCTCCTCCTTAGCGACTAGACCGGACAGTCTCGAAGGTAGCGGTCCCGTTAGTCGAGCCGTGAACCCCAACGAGGACGCGTTTGCGGAAGGTCGTTCGGGGAACGACGTGACCACTTCGTTGCGCGGCTCGATCGTTCGACGGTCAACCGAGCAACGAATCGCCGAGGACGCTTCCGACGCACCGGAACAAACCACCGACGACAATCCCACCGAGGAGCAAGGAAGAACATCCAGGGAGTCGAGCAGCTACTCCACCAGCACCAACTCGGACACCGACGAGGAGACCGAGACGGACACCGACACCGAGACCGACGAGGAAGACGATCAGTCCAGGGACGAGAACAGCAACGTCAAGGTCAGGAAGAGCGAGAACCCTCAAGACGAACCAGCCGATCGAAACAATTCCAAGCAAGACGACGACACCGAGGACGATTCCGAAGACGACACCGAGACCGACACCGAAACGGACGAGGAGACCACCGTCTTGAGCGTCCAGTCGCAGGACAATGGCAGCCAGGAGCGATACAACGACACCGCCAAGCGAAGAAGTTCTTCGATCATCGGGGAGAAGAGCATCGAAGAGCTGTTCGATGACAATGGATGGGTGATCACCGATCAGGACCTGCAGACCGAGGGTCCGCGGAAGATCTCCGGCAGCTTCGAACTATCCGATCGCGCCAACGGCGGGAAAGAGGACTCGGAGAAGCTTGCCGGTCGGAAGGACAACGAACGCGAGGATACCTCCGAGAGCGTGAACCCGTTGAGCGCGTCAAAGTCGTCGGACAGTCTGACCAGGAACCGGGTCTACAGGCAGAGCAGCATAGGGAACAACGGCTGGCTGGTGTCCGACGAGTCCGACAGCGAAACGGACAGGGCTGTGTCACCGCAGAGTCGCCAGGGGAACGAGAGTATCGACAATGGGAAGACGCCGAGCTCGAACAGAGGC